CCTCTCCGCACGAGTTGGCGCGAGCGGGAAATCGGCCTGGTTTCAGGAATTTCTGGCGGGGGTTTCATGTGTTACCATTCGCGTGAAACCCTAGCTGTTGATGGTGACAGATTCCGTGACCCCGCTTACCAAGCCCGTCAGGACACTCGATACAGTTACCGTACGCTTTTTTTTTTTTACCATTGACGTTATCGGGTCACATGATGGTTACCTGTGACATATTTTCCCTTTTCAGCGAGCTTTCGTTGACAAATGCGGGAGTTGCGGGATTCCTCTAGCTGATCGTTTGACTCGGTGACTTTGTGACCGTCGATTGTCATCTCATCTGAAGCCCCACCATCACAGCATAACATTGGGAACGCGGGAAACCCAAGTATTTGAATATGAATCTGCCCTTCCAACCAATGAGAGCGAAGAATGTTCTGTCAGGGAAGCAAACCGTAGCCCAGCAGCTGTGGTTGGTTTGTGATTCGGCAATTCACAGTGAAACAGACGGGGGGACTTTTTGACCGGACTTCGCGAAGACGACGATTTTCCACAGAGTTCGCTAAACGTTGTTACTCTATTTCCATCTGCTTCGCATCTCTACTTCAACGAACGAACGAACGAAGGGCGTACGGTTTCCTGACAAACTGGGTCGTTCAGGGCGAGCATCCCCCGGCAAACCAGACAACAGCGCGACATGGCTGGAGGGAGGGGTCCTGAGAAACGTCGTTTGTAGTCGAATCGTTTTTCAGCAGCTATCCTCTTCTACAATTATGTTGTTTGCCTTTCATACGAAGTGTTCTTGTCTCGACAGCGACAATTGTCTCTTTTGAGGCGTGGTTGACGCGGGCCGCGTAAAACTCCAGAATCCTTCTCCAGCTTGGCAAATCAAAGGACGGCCAAACCACTTTGTTGTGCCGTTGAAGCATTCAGCTCCTCCTGCCTCCTTGGAGGACCATGGTGATCAGATCAAGCTGCCAAATGTCCCTCCCTCGCCCAAACCCAGCCAAGCAAAAGCAAGTGTCACCTCACCAACCGACATTCCACTGTCGTTGATTGGTCCGAGGCATGGCTATCCCAACCAGACGTCACACCACCACCACTCAACAAGGCAACACGACGGACAAACATCCGACCGAACCAGCCCCCGAGGCACCACCACCCTACAAGCCGCATCACCAGGCCTAGTAATGGTAACCAGCCTTTCCACTCACCCACCTTCCCCACGGGAGTTCGTTACGCACAGTGCGTTCTTCGTCGCGCCGACAAGGCAGGCATGCAGCACCACCAGCGCTTGTACACCCCCACGGAACCGGGCCTCCCCCACCCCAAGTCCCATTGGACATTTGGGGTGGCTCTTTCCCAGCCTGGCACTCTCCCAAGCCCACTCGTCTGGGCTGTCTCATCTCATCACCTCTCCCAACCGAACCCATCCCAACGAACCGATGTGGTGCTGGCTGTGATCGTCAAGCTCTACAAGTTCAGTGCAACCATCTCACGTCCCACATCACTGCTCCTTCAATAATATGCAACGCCTATCTTCTCCTCAACGTGATCTTGATTTTCGCCCCCTCACCGGTTCTGCAGAAATGGCTACCCTAGGTCGACTTCCAGGTGTAAGAGAGTTATCAGAATCGTACTACACGGATCTGTCCAAGGCTTCCCCCCATCTGCCTTGTGATCAAACCCTGGACGCGCATTTTTCCTCGCTCCGCGCCCACAATTCCCCCATCCACAAGCGCAAGGAGCGCAGCATCTCCCCTCCTTCCGCCCTCACCGCACTGATTACAGGCGCTTCTGGCGCGCAAACATGCAATGCCGCACCCTTCGCGTCGTCCCTTCAATGTCCGCCTCCTCTCGTTTTCGTCGCGGACTGCCCGCACGATTGTGCCGCCAGCAGAAACTGCGCCGCTGATGACTGGCGGTTTACCGAGTACGCGACGCCGCGGGACGTCTTTCGTCCGCTTCCAGACGACTTCCGCCAACGCTCCGCCGCCGCCGCCGCCATGCGAGAAACCGGCGCAGGCGCAGCAGCAATGACGCCTGAAAGTCTTGAGGTTCGGTCTCTCGCGTCGGAAATTCCCCTCACGTTCTGGGAGGCGCAACAAGCGCAGAAGCAGCAGCGTCCGCACACTGTGCCGCGCACTGGTGTCCCCTACTTTCGCAGCAGCAGCGGTAGCAGCAGAAGGGCGCCAGGGTCGCCGATGGGAGGGGACGGTAATCCCAAGAACCGCGCTGGGAATGCGTTGGGAAGAGCTAGAGTGCAATTGCAAGGGGCGAGGGGATCGAGGTTGCTGGCAGCGAGAGCGTTGCACCATGGCTCGGATCGTGAACGCAGCAGCACGCGCGGCGGTTTCGATGACGGTGCATTAATCAACGGTGGGGATGCTGCCGCGTCTGCGGCGACTGGCACGGGTTCTCCTCTGCCGAGCCGAAAGTTCCTGGCTAGGACGTTTAGCGGGTCCGTGGAATGGCCGTCTCGGCTGGAGAGCCTGTTCATGCGACCAGGCTCGGGAAAGGGCAAAGCCCTTGGAGACACCAGTGGAAGAGCAGGTTTTTTCATGGGCAGCGGAAGGAGATTACACGGGGATATTGATGAGAATGAGGAGGCAGAAACGGCGGGGGTTCAACGCAGCAGAAATGAAATTATGAAGGGGGTTAGGGGAAGAATTTTGCCACAGTATGTTGACGAGTGTGAAGAGGGGTTTGATGGATCAGCAGATGGTGACCTGGAGGTTCCTCAGATAGTCACTTGTTTTGGGAGATCTAGATGATCACCATCCGTATAAGTGGCTGTTCAGTCTGAGAATTTCGACTAATAGTATATTGCATAATATATTCACTTTATTTTTTACTTGTATCATATGCTAGGTGTACTATATTCACATTCGTACCAATCACGCATGCGCTGTTACGGGTACCAATAGCTTGCCTTTTTTAACATCAAATGTGTGGAAACACCACGCAACACCCTGAACTGTGCGAGTAGAAATAGTGGTCTACTCTGCCCGCCCAGCAATAAATCCAGGACGCGTCGTGCCTCTAGGTCTGGGTGTAACTGTACGTGCACTGCCGTCGACGAAACAAATGCTCTTCGCGGAAATCAGTGAGATTGCACACTGTCCAGAACTTACCTTTGCGAACCATCACGAACCGTCAGTACATGTGACGCCGTAACCAGGCCGGGGGTACCATACCGCCATTCCGGGCCTAGATAGCTCGCCTGCGGCCATATCTAGGTTCTCCTTCCCCAGCAGTAGCTGCAAACAGCACATCCCCCTTTTCCGAGTCTTCCGAGCACAGTATACACGCACCACAGCACAGCACCCACCCCATCCATCCACACACACTCACTCACACACACACTGACATACAGGCAGCCTGCCTTTTCATGAGTTACTGTAGGTTCCTCAGTTTGAGTTAGGGCGAGTCAGAAATTAGGTTCGTGTGTGGTTGTTGAGGCTTTTGTCCGTACCAGCCGTTGCAGTTGGGAGTGTAGTGTCGGCGGATATTGCGTCGCGCCGCAAGTTGCGCATGTGTAGTACCATGCGTGTTGCATACCTTCATGATAGCTTCGCGGTAGGATAAATTGTCTAGTTTCCGAGTCTCGATTGCTTTTCGATGGTTTTGACCTCGTGGCGCCTATGTAGGTCTGTTAGCCAACGGCCGCAATCTTCCCTATCATAGCTTCTTGGCCAATGCGAAACCCTAGAAGCGATTCATAGCCTCCGTCGATTAATTATTTTATTGGTTTTCTCAGCGCGTGCTCTAATTCTCACTTCAGTAAAGGACCGTTCGTTGTTCAGGTTAGAGACCATGCACTCTCGAGTCGACTAAAAATTCCGCTCATTGCTCATGTAGACCATGGTGGACCCGTCCACCGTTTTAGAAGAGTTTTTAGTCGACTGAAACCCCAGTTAAGGCCCGCTCGTTGTTCATTTTAGGCCATGGCGGACCCGACGACGGTTCTAGAGGAGGAGTTCGACGAGAACTACGAGCCGACACAGGAAGGTGAGCTCTTACAGATACGGTATACTCGCTATTGAGTCGCGCAAAAAGGCTACTGTTCTGGGCGAGGAGCCATACGAGAGGTTTGAGCTGACGCGGGATAAGAGGTAGTCAATCTAGGGAGATATCCATTTTTGTATTTATTCTTCCTTCCCCGCAGCAACCTCCCTTGCAGCAACCTCCCCTGCAGCATCCACCCCCCGGCAGCCTCCCTCCCTCGCAGCACGGCTTATGTTTACTTTTCAATCGTGAAGGCGCTACGGCTCACACGGAACCGTAGATGCACCATTGGCAAACGGCTCCTGTGCCTCCGTCTGCCGTCGCACTCCCTCCCTTGCTCTCTCGCTCTCTTCCTGTCTCGCTCCGTCGCGCGCTTTTACGGCGTTCAAGCAGCCGTAAGCCGAATTATCACGCGCCAATGCCGGCTGATCGTTGGATCTTTACTTCTTAGTCATTATTGCGCAGCGCGTTCTGGTGGCACTTAGATGAGTGGCTCTTAGACGCATGGCGCTTGAGTTCTTGGCGCGTAGGCGTACGTCGCGACAATCTATACCCGTCTGCGGCCCTTTCCACCCATTTTCCCCCCCGCGTCCTGTCCCTGCGCGTCCCCGCACTTCCCCGCGTGTCCGTGCGCGTCCCTGCGCGTCCCTGCGCGTCCCTGCGCATCCCTGCGCGTCCCTGCGCCAACTCCACGGCTGCGCTGTCTGCGGCTCATTTCTCGTTGCCGTTGTCTCACCATCTAGCAGATTCTTGAGTCGACTCATAAACTACGCATGTCGAATGTCATCAGTCAGTCAGCTGCTGGTAGCCCGCGCATACCCGCATCACGCGTTCTCTAGTACTACGCGGAATGGCGGGAAGGAGCCGGAGGAGCGGAGGAGCAGCTGCTGTGGGCGGGACGAGATACCACCACTGGCATCCCAATCCCTCTTCCCCCCCTTCCCTCCGTCCTCTCCCCTCCCCCCCCCTCTCCGCTTCTGATTGTTAGACATTCTCGAGTACGCGCAATGGCTGGGAATGGAGCTACCGGAGGAGGAGGAGCTGCTGTGGGTGGCGCGACAGGGGCTCAAGGCACCGCTGCCGCCCAACTGGAAACCATGGTGCGTCGTTTGGGGCGTGTGTGTGTGTCATGCGCACGCTTGGTGTGCGTGCGTAGTGACATGCGCACGCTTAGTGTGCGCGCTTGCAGCTTTCGTGTAGCGTTAGACTCACGCATTGCCGGATGGCTGTGGTTGGTGATCTGCAAGGCAAAGGAGTGGCACGCGTGTGTGTGTGACATTGAGTGTCTGGGAGTGGGGGTGGGAGAGGGAGGTGTGTTTGTGTGACTGTATGTGTTTGCGATCTGTGTCAGTGTGTGCATGCGGTTGTGTTGTCATCTGCCCTATTTCGAACCCCTCACACACAAACCAGCTGCCACCAACTGCGTGGATGATGGTGTGATAACGTCCTTATTTTCCACCTCGAATCCCCGCTCTCTCCAACCATCCTCGTCCCCGCCCTCGTCTCATACCCCTCCCGTGCCACTCTCCCTCCCCACTCCCCTCCCCTGCCTTCGCCAGTCGCACGGACGATGACGAGATATATTACTTCAATTTCCAGACGGGCGAGAGCGTGTGGGATCACCCCTGCGACGACCACTATAGGTGAATCAACGGCTGTGATTGTGACACGTGGAATGACGAGTAGTCTTAGACGCGTGATTCCAGGAACCACACACCCCGCTGCTGCTCTTCTCCTTTGACCGTGCTGGTAGGGCAATGCCCGATAGACTTTATTGATCTCCTATTCTTTCTGCAAATCCCCCCATCCCCCGCTCTCTCTCACTCCCATCCACTCACTCTTACCCTCCTCTTAACTTTCCCGGGGCTCTGATCCCGAAGGACAAGAACTAGCTCAGAGCCAGGTCTGCTATTCTGAGAGCTTATCCCCCTTCCTTCCCCCTTCCCCCACCCTCTCCCCTCTGCCCGCCCCCCCCACCTCCTCTCTCCCTCAGAGCCCTGTACACGGATGAGAAGAACAAGCTCAAGGCGGCAAAGGCTGCTGCAGCAGCAGCAGCCACCAGTGGCAGCAGCAGTCGGAGGGGGGCGGGGGTTGAGGAGGCGCGGGGAAGACGCGAAGAGGAGGGCAGGCGGGGGGGGCAGGGGGGTGCTCGTGGGGGAGGGGGAGGGGGAGGAGGCGGAGGAACAGGGGGGAGAGGCGAGGGAGGGGGGAGGGGCGAGGGAGGTGGGAGAGGGGAGGGAGGGGGGCGGGGAGAGCCAGGGGGGCGGGGAGAGGGAGGAGGAGGAGGGGTAGGAAACGGGTCAGCAGCAGCAGCAGCAGCAGGGGGAGGGGGAGGGGGGATGAGGGATGGAGCGGCGGTGAAGGGGGGGGCACGGGATGGGCTGGTACGGCAGGCGTCGCTGCCCCCACAGCCCAAGGAGGAGCATCGTAACAACCTGTTCCGCCAGGGCTCACTGCAACCCCAGTCCATGCTGCAGGTGGGATGGGTGGGAGAGGTGCAATGCTTGCTGCAAGTGGGGTGGGCGGGCAATTCATGCTGCAGGTGGGGCGGTGCTTTTCCCATCCCAGTGGGTCGGTTGTTCTCAATCGCATGCTCTTCTCCCATCTCCCAAACCCTTCACACCCTCCCCATTGCCCATCTCTTCCCCCGTGCCCATCCCTTCCCCCGTGCCCATCCCTTCCCCCTTGGCCATCCCTTCCCCTTTGCCCATCCCTTCCCCCATAGCTCTCCCACCCTCAGCGGAGGCGCAAGGTCGCCCCCAAGGGCTCAAGAGACGCCTCCCTGTTTTAGTCGCCTCAAACAAGGCCTTGATTGCCCTCCACCCCGCTCCCCCCTTCCCCCCCCCCCCCCCCCTCCCCCCCGCCCCCTCTATTTCCCTGCCCCCTTGCCCATCCCTTCCCTCATGTGACGCTCCCACCCTCAGGGGAGGCGCAAGGTGGTTCCCAAGGGCTCAAGAGACGCCTCCCTTCGTTAGTCGACTCAGAAAAGTCTGTACCCTCCCCTTTGCCCTTCCCTTCCCTTCCCCCCGCACATCCCACCCTCAGCGGAGGCGCAAGGTGGTTCCCAAGGGCTCAAGAGACGCCTCCCTTCGTTAGTCGACTCAGAAAAGTCTGTACCCTCCCCTTTGCCCTTCCCTTCCCCCCGCACATCCCACCCTCAGCGGAGGCGCAAGGTGGTTCCCAAGGGCTCAAGAGACGCCTCTCCGGATTCTCCAAACGCAGGTGCATATGTGTAGGGGGAGGAGTGCTGGGGGGGAGGTGGGTGGGGGGAGGGTGAGCAGAGGATTGGGCTAGCATGAGGAGAGTGCTGGGGTAGTGTGGGTGGGGGGGAGGGCTGGGGAGGGTGGGGGGGAGGGCTGGGGAGGGTGGGGGGGAGGGCTGGGGAGGGTGGGGGGGAGGCTGGGCTGCAGAAACCCAACATGAGAGAAAAGCAGGGAGTTGCTGTTTCGCTCTTGAGTCGACTCTGCTTTTGAGTTGACTCAAAAGCAAAAGCAGGGAGCTGCTGTTTCTCCTCCTCACACCAGCCCCACCCTCGCCCTTCCCGCCCATTCATGCATGCAGGAGTGCCTCAGGGGCGAGGGCGTCTCTCCATCACAGACCGCTCAGAGGATGCTAGAGGAACCAACCCCAACCTTGCTGTTCCCTGCCCCCTCCTCCCCCCGCCCATTCATGCAAGCAGGAGTGCCTCAGGGGCGAGGGCGCCTCTCCATCACAGACAGCTCAGAGGACGATAGAGGCATGGCGCGCGCTGCTGCTGCTTCCCAGCAGCAAATGAGACTCCAACAGCAGCAGCAACAGCAGCAGTTTCAGCAGCAGCAGCAAAGACAGGCTAGACAGCAGCAGCAGCAGCAGCAGGGGGGGGAGCAAGGGCTAGGGGGTAACCAGCAGAGCAGGAGACCACCCGCAGGGTCGGGAGCAGGGGGAGGGGCAGGTGGAGGTTCGGGTGCTTCCGATAGGGGAGCAGGAGGTGGAGGTTCGGCTGCTGGAGGGTCGGCGGCAGGTTCGGCAGGAGGTTCGGGGCAGGAGGTAGAGCTGCTGCATCAGGTCACGTGGTCTCCCGAGCTTGGGCAGGGTCGGCGGTCCCCCATGGCTAGCTCTCTGGCTCGGGCGGGGTCTATGGGTGCTGCTATCAAGGGAAAGCCCACAGTTCTGGAAGAAACGGATGGTGAGCAGTGCTGAGTGGTGCAGGGTGGTGATGAATGGTGCACGTGTTTGGTAGGTAATGGTGGATGCTGGTTGAGGGGTTGTGTGATGGTGTGAGAGTGATGGATGGCTGTATACATAGATGGGCGGACGGACATATAAGTGCTTAGCTCTGTGCGCTTTTAAAGCTTCAAAATACGACATGCCTTTACCTAATGTCCCCCTTGTCTTGTCTCATGCACCCGTCCGTGTGTTCCCCTTTTCTAGCAGAGGAATGGGAAACGTCTGATGACGAAACGGGCACCAGACCCCCTTCATCAGCTGCTGCTGCTGCTGCTGCTGCTGCTGCTGCATCAGCATCAGCACCAGGTGCAGCAGCAGCATCTGGAATTCCAGTTTCCCAATCCCCCGGTGTTGTGCCTAGTGCTGCTGGAGGGGGGGGACAGGGGGCAGGCGCAGGAGCAGGGGGAGGAGGGGGAGGGGGAACAGGGGGAGGTGGGGGTGGTGGTCGGGGGGGCGGTAGAGGAGGAGCCGAGGGTTACCACCAACAGCAGCAACAACAGCAGCAGCAGAAGCATGGAATGGTGCCTCGGAGGGCGGGTGGAACGCCGAACCAGAACCAGGAGGTTCGGCGAGGGGGGGGAGGAGGGGCAGGGGGTGTTGGCGGCGGTGGTGCGGAGGGTGGGGGCAGGGGGGAAGCAGGTAGCAACAGCAGAAGACCAGGGAGTTCTGATAGGGTGGGAGGGGAAGCTGGGGTGGTGGGAGCAGGAGTGAGTGGTGTGGGTGCTGTTGGTAAGGGAGGAGCAGAGGGACGGGAGGGCCGGGAGGGGAGGGAGAGGAGGGAAGAGCGAGGAGAAGGAGTCGGGGGGAGGCAGGAGGGGGAGGGGAAGGAGAGGCGGAGGTCTTTGGAGGGGCGGGGGAGTGGCACGGGGGGGGAGAGGGCAGGGGAGAGATCCGCGGAGAGGGGGGATCCGAGGGATGGGCGGGGGGGAGAGGGGGCGGGGAGAGGAGGGCCGAAGAGAACTAGCAGCACAGATGCCCAGGGGGGAGTGGGTAACGGCCAGGGCAGTGGTCAGGGCATGCAGGGTTACTCAAGAGGAGGAGGGGGTGAGGCTAGTCAAGATCCGCAGCAGAGAGGTGAGTGATGCACAAAATGCCATGCCATCCTCCCACCATTCCACTCTCCGCCTTGCCCTCTCTGCCCATTCCATCCTCATTCTCGCACGATCGATTCTCTCCCTGTCTCCACGTCCCCCACCATCTGCCCAACCCTTCATCACTCTCCCTTCCCGGCCTTGTTTCAGGCGCCCGGGCAACACAATCCGCTGCAGGCATAGCCAGACAGGTGCGTGTTAGAATAGAAGGAACACAGCCTTATGTAGCAGGCAGGCATGTTGTTTCAGTCAGCTGGGCACTGCCCCCGTGGCTTGTCCTTGCACAGTCCTTCTGCAGGCATAGCCAGACAGGTGCGTGTTAGAATAGAAGGAACACAGCCTTGCGCAACAGGCAGGCTGTGTCATTGTCAGTTGTTGCACTGTCCCCGTGGCTTGTCCTTGCCCAGTCCTTCATGTAAGGCTTTTGAGACTCCCATAGGGACGCCTCAAAACTCACAACTTAAGACATCTCAAAGCAAGCCTTGAACGGCAGTCTGGCTGTGCCAGTTGTTGCGAGAGGGGGTCTTATTCTTTGTTTTCCTCTCTCCCTTCACCACCCAGGGTTCCTGGGCCAAACCAGCAGAGGACGCAAAGCAGCAGCAGCAGGGAAGGGGCGCTGCTGCAGCAGCAGCTGCTAGTGCTGGTGGTGGTTCGGGCGCTGGTCCTCCTGCTGGGGCCGGTGTGGCTGGGGCAGGCGTATCTGGTGTAGGTGGTGCTGGTGGTGCTCGCAAGGCGTCTGGGCTGGCTGATGGGCGGCTTGCAGGAGGGGCGCAAGGGGGAGGCGTAGTGCAAGGGACAGTGCAGGCGGGTGGCTCTGGTGGTTTGCTGGCGGCTGCAGCGGTGGAGAGACAGAAACGGGAAGGGGAGGAGGTGGCGGGTAAAGGAGGGCCAGCTAAGGTGGGTGTGCGGGTGGGAGGTGGATGGAGCGACAGAGAGTAGGAGGGCGAGATGGAACATACTTGTGACTGTTTCTTCTGTTGTTCACCTTGCTGCTCACCTCTCCACTCTCCATTACCGCCGCCCCTTACCCTCCGTGTGTATGAAGATTTGTTTTGAGTCGTGTGTTCTCAAAACAAATCTTCATACACGTTGAGGCCGAGATGGAACATACTTGTGACTGCTTCTTTTGTTGTTCACCTTGCTGCTCACCTCTCCACTCTCCATTACCGCCGCCCCTTACCCTCCATCTCCCCTGCCTCTCACCCCCTGTGTGCTGGCAGGAGCGTGAGCCTCTTGGTCAGGAACCCAAGGATAAAGACGCTGATGCTGAGGTATGGAGGAGTGTGGCTGGTTATAGAGTGGTGTCATGGGGTATGGCTGTGGGTAGGTTCATGTGGAGCAGGGAATATGTGCGAGCATGGGCATAGCTCGGTTAGAGGCAGAGGTATACGTATACCATAACTCGCCCTGTCTCCTAGGTGACTTTTGAGTCGACTCAGAAGTCAATATGTGTGAGCATGGGCGTAGCTTGGTTAGAGGAAGAGGTATACGATAACTCGCCCTGTCTCCTCCCCTCCCTGCCCATTCTTCAGGACGACGAGGTGGCTCGCCTTCGAGAGGCAGCAGCAGCAGCCCAGAGGCGAATAGGGCGGTACGAGGCGGAGTGTGACGGGCCCTCACTCGCCCTGTCTGCCCTTCCCCCTCCCCTTCCCCCTCCCACCCCCTCACCAGGACGACGAGGTGGCTTGCCTTCGAGAGGCAGCAGCAGCAGCCCAGAGGCGAATAGCGCGGTACGAGGCGGAGTGTAACGGGCCCTCACTCGCCCTGTCTGCCCTTCCCCCTCCCCTTCCCCCTCCCCTTCCCCCTCCCCTTCCCCCTCCCCTTCCCCCTCCCCTTCCCCCTCCCCTTCCCCCTCCCACCCCCTCACCAGGACGACGAGGTGATTTGCCTTTGGGAAGCAGCAGCAGCGGCGCAGAGGTGAATAGCACGGTACAAGGCGGAGTGTGAGACCCATCCTCCTGACTCTCCCTCACTCTCTTGCCCTCTCTGTCCCTTACCCTGCAGGACGATGAGGTGACTCGCTTAAGGGAGGCAGCAGCAGCGGCGCAGCGTCGAATAGCGCGGTACGAGGCGGAGTGTGAGACGGTCCTTCACTCGCCCTGACTCTCTTCCCTCTCCCCCCTCTCACCCCACCCACAGGACGATGAGGTGACTCGCCTTCGGGAGGCAGCAGCAGCGGCGCAGCGTCGAATAGCGCGGTACGAGGCGGAGTGTGACGGGCGGCTGGCAAAACTCAAGGCGGAGAGGGAGGCGCTGGTGAGGCGGCGAGAGGTGGAGATCACACGGCTGGCGGAGCAGCTTGGCACGGTGAGTGCTGCGATGCAACGTGCAACTGCCTCCGGTGCTTGCTGAGGTGAGGCATCGGAACCTTCCTGTCTTTTGAGACATCTCAAAAGTCAACGTGCAACTGCCTCCGGTGCTTGCTGAGGTGAGGCATCGGAACCTTCCTGTCTTTTGAGACATCTCAAAAGTCAACGTGCAACTGCCTCCGGTGCTTGCTGCTGAGGTGAGGCAGCAGCATTGAGGTGAGCTGAGGTGATGCATCGGCCCCATCCTGTCCGTCTGTATGCAACATCGAGTCCACTCAAGGTTGGAGTTGGACTCAACCAGCCCAGCCCGTATGACGCCTGTTGAGTGAGAGTCAATCATCGGATCAAAAGCGCCTGTTGAGTGAGAGTCAATCATCGGATCAAAAGCGCCTGTTGAGTGAGAGTCAATCATCGGATCAAAAGCGCCTGTTGAGTGAGAGTCAATCATCGGATCAAAAGCGCCTGTTGAGTGAGAGTCAATCATCGGATCAAAAGCGCCTGTTGAGTGAGAGTCAATCATCGGATCAAAAGCGCCTGTTGAGTGAGAGTCAATCATCGGATCAAAAGCGCCTGTTGAGTGAGAGTCAATCATCGGATCGGCCCTTCCGCTGCCACACCCCCTTGTCTTGCCCCTCCTGACCAGCCTTTTGACGCAGGGGCGCTGACACAAGCGCGCAGCGTGGTAGTGGACCAAGGGAGAGGCAGCAAGATAGCGAGGCAGTGAGGCTTATATGTATCAACCCCCTTGTCTTGCCCCTCCCGACCGGCCTTTTGACGCGGGGGCACTGACACAAGCGCGCAGCGTGGCAGTGGACCAAGGGAGAGCGCTCAGCAAGAGGGAACGCGATGCAGCCGTGGCAGCAGGCAAGGAGCAGGTGGTGGAGCGGGAGAGGCAGCGAGATAGCGAGGCAGTGAGGCTCATATGTATCAACCCCCTTGTCTTGCCCCTTCCACACAGCCCTTTGACGGGGGGGCACTCACCCAAGCGCGCAGCGTGGCAGTGGACGAGGGGCGAGCGCTCATCACACGGGAGAGAGAGATGCAGCCGTGACAGCAGCCAAGGAGGAGGTGGAGCGGGAGAGACAGCGGGCCATCGCTGTGCTGCAGCGGTGCCTCATATATGAACCCTTCCCCTTCCACTCCCCCTGTTATACCCTCCCAACCAGCCCTTTGATGCGGGGGCACTCACCCAACCCCGCAGTGTAGCAGTGGACGAGGGGCGGGCGCTCATCACGAGAGAACGTGATGCAGCGGTGGCAGCAGCCAAGGAGGTGGAGCGAGAGAGGCAGCGAGGCAGAGAGAGAGCAGTGACTCAGTCCTTTCATTGACCCCTGCCCTTCCACCTCTCCCCTCTCCCCTGTCCCCCCTTCTCAACCAGCCCTTTGACGCGGGGGCACTCACCCAAGCGCGCAGTGTAGCAGTGGACGAGGGGCGAGCGCTCATAACACGGGAGAGAGATGCAGCCGTGGCAGCAGCCAAGGAGGAGGTGGAGCGGGAGAGACAGCGGGTCATCGCTGTGCTGCGAGAGGAAGCTTCCCTGAAGGTGGCGTTGGAGCGGCGGCACCTGCAGGTGGATCCTCAGGTGGTGGCGCTGGTGAATCTGGAGGAGGTGGCCCGGCAGCAGGAGTTTCTGAATCGGTGGCGTGCAGCACTGGAGCAGGAGAATGTGAGTGCGGTGGGGGGATGGAAGGTGGGAGGTGACGGAATGGGGATTGGGAGGTGGAGAATGAATGGGGGAGTTGGGAGTGGAAGGTGGAAATCAAAGGTGGGACTGTGAGGTACCTCACAAGCATGCAGGTGGGTGGGTCGAGGTGGAGCGAGTGTGATGGGGGCACCATGCAGGTGGGTCGAGGTGGAGCGAGTGTGATGGGGGCACCATGCAGGTGGGTCGAGGTGGAGCGAGTGTGATGGGGGCACCATGCAGGTGGGTCGAGGTGGAGCGAGTGTGATGGGGGCACCATGCAGGTGGGTCGAGGTGGAGCGAGTGTGATGGGGGCACCATGCAGGTGGGTCGAGGTGGAGCGAGTGTGATGGGGGCACCATGCAGGTGGGTCGAGGTGGAGCGAGTGTGATGGGGGCACCATGCAGGTGGGTCGAGGTGGAGCGAGTGTGATGGGGGCACCATGCAGGTGGGTCGAGCAAGCCATAAACTCTTCCCCTCTCCCCCTTTCTCCTCTCTCTTCCCCCCCCCAGCCACAAGTCCTAGCGCGATGGAAGGCGGCAGCAACGGAGGAAGAGCAGCGAATGCTGGAGCTGGCACGGAGAGAAGCAGCAGCGCGGGTGGAGCGAATAGTAGAGCAGGAGGAGCGGCGGGAGCGAGAATCAGCCCTCAAGGGCATCCGAGAGCGGGTTCGGGCAAAGCTAGGGGAAGAGGAGAGGCGGATCGTTGCCCAGGAACGGGCAGAAATGGCTTCCCGTGTTGCCGAAGCTGTCGCGGAGGAGCGGGAACGGCTCGTGGAGGCTCGGCGGAAGGAGGTGTTGGATCGGGCGGAGAGGGAGGCTGGGGAGGAGGCGGAGAAGAGGAGACAGGCGAGGTTGCTGGAGGCTTGGAGGAGGGTAGAGGCTGAGGTGGAGGGGGTGCAGGAGGAGGGGTGGGAGAGTGTGGTGGGGAGGGCGAGGGGAGTTGCAGAGGAGGCAGGGATTTCAATGGATGGAGAAAAGGGGAAATTGCTAGAGATTGTGCGGTGGTCGCTGGAGGAGGAGAGGAAAGAGTTGAGTGAACAGAGGGTGGCTGAGGTGGTGGAAGCGTTAAAGGAGGAAGAGAGGGAGGTTGTAGCGCGGATAAAGAAGGAGAAGGGGGTGAATGGAGAGGTGGTGGGTGCTGATGGGGTTGGCGGTGCTGTGAGCGCTGCTCTGAAGGCCCGGGCAGAGGAGGAAGCTGCTGGGAAGCTGGAGAGGTTGAGGAAGGAAGCGGAGGAGAGAGTGAGGGAGCAGGTGAGAGGAGAGGAGGCTGCGTTGCTGGCCAGAAGGAGAGGGGAGATGGAGCAGAGGGCTGAAGCGTTGGGCAGAGGCGGGAAGGGTGCGGTGATTCAGCTGGAGAAGGATTTCCTGGAAGGGGAGTTAGGGGAGAAGATCGCACTTATGAGGAAAGAAGCGGAGGAGAGGGAGGTGCGGGAAAGGGAGAGGCTTAAAGCGAGTATAGAGAGGCGGCTGGAGGAGGTTGTGGAGGGGGAGGAGAGGGCGATGGAAGGGGTGGTGGAGGAGAGGAAGAAGGAGATGAGGGAGAGGGCCAGGCGGGCTGTTCAGGAGGAAGAGAAGAAGCTTCTAGAGGAGATGCGAGCACAGGTTCGGAAGAAGGTGGAGGATAGGTTTGGCGCCGAGGCTGAGAGCTGGGCAGGTTCGGTGAGGGAGGAGTTGATGGAGCAGGCGAAGAGGGAGGTGGAAGAGGAGGTTGAGGAGTGGCGGAGGAAGGAACTGGCTGGTGCTGGGGTGCAGGGGAGTGGGAGGAAGGGTAGGAAGAGGGGAGGGAAGAAGGGGAAGGAGGACGGGGGAGAGGAGGAGGATGAAGATGGGGAGGAGGAGGAAGATGAGGAGTTGGAGGAGGAAAGGGAGATGAGGAGGCAAGAAATGATGGAGGAATTAGAGGAGGAGGTTGAGACAGAGAAGCAGAGGCGGTGGGAGGAGATGGAGGAGGATCTCATCAGCCAATGGGAGGCCAAGAAAGAGGAGCGGCTCGCTGAGCTGGCACGAAAAGTGGACGCTGACGTGGCGGAGGGGTATGAGAAGTTGAGAAGGGAGAAGGAGGAGGAGATTGAGCGGAAGATTTGGGAGCAGAAGGTCGCTGAGGTGGACGGGCAGATTGGAAAATTGCTCGAGGAGGAACGGGCAGTTCGGCTCCAAGCTGCCCGAAAAGTCATGGATGCTTCGTTAAGAAAGCAAATTGCGAGTGAGAGGGAGGAGAGTCTGGGGCAGATGAGGAAGGAATGGGATGAAATGGAACCAGAGCAGCAGGAGGCTTGGGTGGTGCAGCAGAGAGAGGAGAAGGGGCGGAGGATGGAAGAAGAGATGAAGAGGCGGGTAGAGGAGGAAGTAAGGGATTACAGAGAGAGAATGCTGGCGACAGTTGCCGCAGAGGAGAGGGAGGTGCGGTCGAGAGAGAGCAACAAGAGAGACCTGGTGAGGATTGAGAGAGAGTACAAGCGGCAGAGGCAGGAAATGGAGTTGAGGGCCTCACATGCTCTAGAGGCGTTTAGAACGGACCTGAGCGTGAGGCTGGAGCGGGAGAAGCTGAGACTGAGACGGGAAGCGAAGCACGCTCTAGAGAGGTATGAAATTGAGCTGGATATTAAGGTGGAGAAAAAGGTGGAGTCTATGAGGGTGGACCTTCAGATTAGGCTAGAAGCTATGCGGAGGGAGATGGAGGTGACTCTGCGGAAGAAGGTGGAGGAGGAGCGGGTGAGACGGCTGGAGATTCTGAGTCGCGAGTTGAAGGCGGAAGAGAGGGAGATGAGGCGGGGGTGGAGGGAGCTTATGGCGCAGGAGGAAGCCAAGGTGAGAAGGCAGTACGAGCAGAGAAGGAATCTGTTGAGTAATGCGCTAGAGAGTGAGTCGAGTGGTGTGGAGGGGAGAGGGGGCGGTGTGGGGGGAGAGGATGGGAAGCAGCGAGGCGGGAGGGGTGCGAACCGGAACCCGCACCAGCAGGTTGGGTTCGGCGGGTTAGGTTCGGGCGGGGTGCGGGGGATGGGAGGGGGGATGGGTGGGGGCGGAGGGGGGATGTTTGGCGGGATGGGGGGCGGGATGGGGGGAATGGGCGGGATGGGGGGGATGAGGTTGATGGATGGGAGTGGGGGGAGTGGAGGGGGATTCAGGCTTCTAGAGGTGGCTAATGAGAAGGTGGGTGGGGGTGGGGAGGGTATGGGAGGGAGAGGAGGAGCGGGAGGAGCGAGAGGGAGAGTGGGCGGCGGAGGAGGGATGGGAGGGATGGGAGGGGGCGTAGGGGGAATGGGTGGGGGTAATATGGGCGGGTCTTGGCTGGAAGAGCTGAGGAGTGGCGGGGAATCAGATGTGAGTCTGAGTCATGGGTTGAGTGCTAGTAGGGAGTTTAAACCGGGGACAGGGGAGGACAGAGGGAGGAGAGGCAGAGGGAAGGCAGTGAGGCGGAGAGGGGAGGGTGGGGATGGGGAGGAGGGAGAGGAGGAGGAGGAGGAGGAAGAGGGAGAAGGTGAGGAGGAGGAAGAGGAGGAGGGGGAGGGGTTGGATCTGGGACAGGGGCGAGGGGGGCTAGGAGGGATGGTGGAGGAGGGAGGGTCCATGTCTGAAGAGCCTGAGCAGCTGGAGGGGCAACACAACCGGCAGCAGCAGCAGCAGCAGCGTCATCAAGAGAAAGCCAACACAGCAGGAGCGGCAGCAGCAGGCGGGGCAGCAGCAGGAGTGGCAGGGGCAGGGGCAGAGGCAGGGGCAGGGGCAGCGGCGGCGGTGGCAGCGGGTGGTGAAGTGGCTGCGAGTGCCGCGAGTGGGCTTGGGAGTGCCGCGAGTGGGCTTGGGAGTGCCGCGAGTGGGCTTGGGAGTGCCGCGAGTGGGCTTGGGAGTGCCGCGAGTGGGCTTGGGAGTGCCGCGAGTGGGCTTGGGAGTGCCGCGAGTGGGCTTGGGAGTGCCGAGCCCGATCGATCCGACGAGGCTGATACCAAGAAGGACGTGGACTCGCTCCCCCCTGAGGCCACAGGGGGAGCGGGTGCCACATGGGGCGCAGGGGGGGAGCGGGGAGAGCGGGGGGGGGAGGGGGGAGCGGGGAGAGGTAGGGGCGGATGGGGCTGGCGGGCTGGATGGTGGGGGAAGAGACGGAGGGGGAGGGGGAAAGGCGGGGGGAGAAGCAGCAGGGGGCGGCACAGCAGCGGGAGGGGCGGAGGGGCAGGGAACAGCAGTAGCAGTGGCCTTGGGGCCGCATCCATTGGGATCTCCTGACGATTCGGGAAGCAACTTCGGGGAAAGTTCCTCAGAGCTCCCGAGGTTGACGCTGGGGGGGGCGGGCGGGGAGGGGGAGGCGGCGGGGCTGGCGGGGGACTGGATGGGGCGGGGATGGGTGAAGCCGGGGCAGAGGCGGTCGAGGAATCGCAACAGCGGGAAGGCGGCACGACAGCCGAATGACGTCGCGGATTATTACTCCGAGTGGAGCGAGTCGGGGTCTGACCTGGTGAGCTCTTCCGCTCTTCTCAACTCCCCTCAACCCCTCCCAACCCTCTCCCAACCCCTCCCAACCTTTTTCAATTCCTTTTAACGTCCTCTCAGCTCCTCTGAATCCCTCTCAACTCTTTTCAACTCCTCTCAGTGCCTCTGTTTCTGTTCAAATGTGTGTCTCAACCTGCAGGAGCTAGCGGATAGGGAGTTAAGGCCAGGGGGCGGCAGGAAGGGCATGGACGACGGAGTTGAGCTCTTCGGCTCCACTCAACCCCTCTCAACTCCCCTCGACCCCTTTCAACGCCTCTAACTTGTATCTGTTTCTGTCCGCCCTGTGTGCCTATGAGTGCAGGAGCTAGCGGATAGGGAGTTCCAGGGCAAGGGGCGGCAAGAAGGGGATGGACAACGGGGACAAACTCTTCAACTCCACTCACCCCCCTCAATCCCTCTCAACTCCTCTCAATCCCCCTCAACTGCTTCTCACGTCTGTCTGTTCCTGCTCAACCGTGTGCCACTTTTACGTGCAGGAGCTAGCGGATAGGGAGTTCAGGGCGGGGGGCGGCAGGAAGGGCATGGACAACGGGGACGAGCTCTTTGACGAGGAAGGCGTGCCCTTCAGGTGAGATGTCAGGTGTTCTTCAGGTGGAGTGGGTTGTCAGTTTTTCTTCAGGTGACTACGCCTGCAAATATGGTGCTGCGAAAAAAGAGCCTAAATCTGGAATTCCAAGTGATTTAACCCTTGTTGTACACATCACACCTCCTCACCACCTTTCCCCCCCCGCGACACCCCCCCATCCCGCCCCCCTCCCCCTGGGTCCCCCTTCCAATCCACCAGTGAGCGAGCATCCATGGTGGAGCAAGCAAAGCTGTTTGCAGCGGAGCAGCAGAAATACCTCAAGGATCGCCAGGCTGTCATCAATGCTGATTACTCCCCTACTGCTTGCCCTGTGCTGCCCCTGTGCCCCACCAGTGAGCGAGCATCGATGGTGGAGCAGGCAAAGCTATTCGCTGCAGAGCAGCAGAAATATCTCAAAGAGCGCCAGGCTGTCATCGAGGCCGCCCGGCAGGACTGGCAGCGCCAGATGGCTGCCGCCCAGGAGGTCTCAGATGAGGACGACAGACGCCGCCGCATCCAGCACCTGACGGATCTTAAAGCCACATTGGACCAGCATGTTAGGGAGCTGAATGACGACGCCAGGCATGTCAGTCAACTCAAGAAGAATCTGCTGAGTTTTTCCAGAAATGGGGCGAATAGTGGGGCAGGGAGTGGGCCTGGTGCGGGGAGCGGTGGTGGGAGCGGGGATTTTGGGAGAGGAGGGAGGGGAGGGAGAGGGGAAGGAGGGAGGAGGGACGGGGGAGTGGGAGGGAGGGGAGGGGCGGGGGGAAGAGGGGAGGGGGGGAGTGGGGATTCCGCCAGGTGGCGGCGTGCGATTGGATCAGAATGGGCCGCTGTTGAATTTCCCGCCGGATGCGATTATGTCCCGAGCCTCGTCGTTTGCTTCGGCGAGCATGGGTCGGGAGAGCTTCGATATTGATGAGATGATGGGCGGGCTAGGGCTGGAAGGGCCCTGGTCCAGACCTAGTCCCCGAAGCAGCCTTGGAGGCACGGGGGACATGATGGGAGGAGGTTCGGGTGGAGCAGGAGTGGGGGCAGGTGCAAGAGGAGGGGGGATGGCGGGAGGGGCAGGGGGGGGAAGTGGAGGCATGGGGATGGGAATGGGGATGGGTATGAGGGGCGGCAGTGGTGGTGCTAGCAGTAGTATGGGGGGAAGGGGATTCGGTGGGGGGATGGGAGGGGGAATGGGTGGTGGGGGGATGGGTCGAGGAGGCGGGATGGGGGGAGGAGGGATGGGGGGGATGGGAATGGGGGGAGGCGGGATGGGAGGGGGGGGGCTAGGAGGCAGGGACTCGTGGTTTGATGAGGTGTACGGGTCGAGTTCTGCTGTTACATCCCCCACTCTCTCCCCGCCTGGCGTTGCGGGCAGAAATATTTTCCAGGGGGAGTTTGACCTGGGGGAGGGGAGTGGCGGAGGGGGCAGCGGCGGGGGGAGGATGGGGGGAGGAGGAATGGGAATGGGGGGTGGCGGAGGGTTGGGAGGAGGGGGAGGAAGGAGAGGAGGGGGGATGGAGGAGGGAGGGGCGAGGAGGGGCGGGGGAGGGGGAGGTGGAGCTGGAGCGGGGATGGAAGTGGAGGGCGGAGGAGCAGAGTTCAAGTTTGGTAATCTGCTGCCTGGAGCTCAAGCACAACCCGATCCCCTGTGAGCTTCTTGCATTGCCCACCTCCGATGCCTGTTTTTTTTTTTTTTTTTTTATGCATGCTATGTGCACTTGGGATTGTATCCTTCTTTGCAATCGTATCCGTTGTGGCATCTATTGTTGTTGTATCTTCTCACTTCCCCTTCTCTGTTTCTTCACCCCTTCCTACCGCTCTCCACACCTGCAGCCGCAGGAATAGGGAAGCAGCTCGAGCAGCAGGCAGTGGCAGCGGTGGCGGCGGCGGTGGTGGTGGGGGTGGGGTTGGCGGGGCAGGTGGCAGCTTGTTTTCTCTTGACGACTCTCCCACAGGCCGTGACATGGACGCGCGGGGTGATATGAGGACTGAAGGAAGGGTGGAGGGGAGGATGGGTCGGGAAATGGATGGGAGGGAAGGGCGAGAGGTGGAGGGGCGAGGAGGGAGGGAGGCGGGAGGGAGAGCAACGGCGGCGGCGCATCGGTTGTCAAAGCTGCAAGATGAATCGGGTGTTGGGAGTGGCAGTGGCAGAGAGCAGGTGAGACATAGTGTGTCTGTGTGCGTATGGGGGTGGGGGTGGGGCTGTGTGCGCGTGGATGTGCGGAGTGGGGTTGGAGGTAGGGGTGTGTGTGCGTGTGTGTGTTGCCCGTGTGTGTGCGTGCTGCAGTTTTTTTCTGTCGTTTCTGTTGGGCAGGTGTGTGCTTAGCTTGCAGTGTGACCTATTGATTGGGTGGGCGGGTCCAGGGTTGGTGATGGGCTCACAAGCCAAGTAAGATTGCCCCCTACCCTCCCCCATTGCGTCAGGTGTCTCGGCAAAGAGGAGCGCACAGTGGCTCGGCTCAGCATCAGCAGGGCCGCCGCTCCTCAATGGATGTATGAGCTCTCGCATCAAACTCCTCAAATGATCTAACACCAACAGTCCGCAGAATGTTTCTAGAGAGCTCTTTGGAATGCCGCTGCTTGCTGCAACACAATCATTTGTTCATTTACCTTCACAGCATTGCTCGGCAAAGTAGCCAGCAATGGCTTCTAATTATGGAAGTGCTTGCCATTGTTGGTTGTGTTGAATGTGAAATAAGCCTTTCATTAGGTGCAATTCTCCAAGAGCAACTTCAAGTGTAGTCCCCTCTTTCCGCGTTTATCAGTGCTTGCGTCGGAACTACGCATAGCTGGACATTTCGAGACTACGCACGAGCCAATCAACCACCGCTTCCAGGCGCTGCGAAATCGGGGACTGTCACCACCAGCTTTCGCGGGCTTTCGAGAAACGGCAGGGGTGTCTTGTCTTCGCCTTCGCATGTCGTAGGGGGCCAGTGCCATCAATCACGCGCAGCCAATGGTTCATTCTGCTCGCATGTGCGCTTCGCAATCCCGATTTAGCGACTCGAAATTTCAATCAACTCCCGCGCATTGCCTGGTCGCACATCAATTTTTGAATGCGCCTGACGATGAGTCGACATGACATGCACTGCTCTCTTCCCCACCTGCATCTAGTCATCTATCCTCTCGGTGAATATCAGATCCAGCAAAAACCAACAATAGCGCTTTATCTCTATCTAACGTAACGGACTCGGTTCTTCATTTCAGGCCTTCACAGTTCTTTAATCAATCAAGCTGTTTCTCATTTTCGACTATGGCAACCACACCTCTCTTCCCGTCGGCCTTTCTCGGCGTGCAGCTTAGCTCGCGACTTCCTGCAGCATGCGATTCAACATGCGACAGCTATCTGTCAGGCAGCGGTGCTGCTAGGCCCACCAGCTCGACCACGATGGCGGTGATGGGCCCCTCGTGGCCGCACTCCGATTCGTCGTTCGACTCGTCGCAACACTGGCTGGCGAATCCTAGCGATTCGCAGAACGTACCCCCGGCAACGCCCGATTTTCATCGCCCACATCGCTCGCTCGCCTCCCCGCCTAACGCGGCCAGCGCTCCTGCTGAGACTGACGTGGCTGGTTCCCTTCGGGCGAACCGGCTTTTAAGGATCCCGCCTGTGGCGCCGCAACGCACGCTTCCCGGACTAAACATCGCTCCAAAGAAGGCGAATAAGAAAGCCCTGGTTCACCGCGGGCCGGATGGGTCGGTCCCAGTGCAGATTAACGCGGGAAAGGCGCCGGTTTTCACGGTGGAGAAGGCGCGGAAGCTGCGGGAGATGCTGAAGGAATCGGAGACGCATCACGACACGATGTACCACTCGGGCATCGCATCCAGACTCGCGCTATAGTATTTACTCGCGCAATTGTCCCGAATGGCTGTCGGTCTTGCAAGTGAGTGCAGCGATGCTAGCAGTGCACCCGGGATATGCAATCACAGATTTCCCAACGGCCTCATTCGCCACTATTGACATCGACACTCCGAACAAGCAGCCTGCTCCCTGTCTGGTGGAGTCCGGCTTCCAGCCTGCTCATTCGGCCAGACAGACCCGCTCAATGGCATTCACGTGTTTAATTCATCATGATTCGACGAACCTATGCGGTTGACTGCGGTCAGTGCGGTGGTTCACCCTAACTCGTACCAACCACCAGACTGGCTGGTGGATAATTTTGCGCAATGTATTGTTCAGCCAAACACCCAATTTCGCCCTAATTGAGGTTAATTATATTCTGCTGTATACTGGATATACAGCATGTTGTGGAACTTGTTTTCTCCCAGCGGACAGAGAAAAAAATGTAGTGAGAGTGAGTGAAATGTAGAGTGAAACATGTAGTTCAAAGAGCTACACCGCAAACTCAGTGAGGGTTGGGACAAGCGAGCCGTTTATTATCGAATATACCCCGGAAGCACCTCCAGAAAGCTCGCGCATCCGACATTTCCAGCGAAGACACCATTCTGCCATGTCACCTTTCCCCAGCTGCTGCCAGCTCAGCGCACACCCTACACACACCCACAAACCAAATTTTCCTGCTCGCATCTTGCTTTTCACATTGGGAGATGATCATATTGGAGCCGAACAGCACCAGAAAGGGATCGAAGTAGGGCCGAGAAATCTCGACCGTAGGATTTCAACCCGCAGCTGCCCGTACGGCTGGGCGAACAAGCCGAGCCGTGAGTTAAAGAGAAATGCTGAAGAGACCGAATTGCATGTAAAACTTCTTCAATAAGGGTTTGGACCGCCGTCAACTACAGCGCGCGCGTCGCCTTGTTCTGGAATTAAAATTTGGCGTGTCAAATCGTGAGTACGTAACAACATATTTTATTATGGGTGATATATATCACCAACGCGATCGAAAACGCACAGAAAAAAAAATATTACCCATTCGGAAACGGATGCGCCTCGGGAGGCATCAACCCTAAATACCAGGAAGGTCCCCCTTTTTTGGGTTGATCCATCCCGAAACTGCATTCAGATTCCCTACGGGTTTTAGTTTTTTTGCTGCCCTAAGAGTTCCCAGCAGAGTCAGCTCGCTAAACGACACGCGAGCGAAAATGGTAGCCAGTGCATGCGACTAGTAACATAATTACGTGCAAAAAACGAGAACTATTTGTTAATCTCTTTATGTGCAGCGGTTTGGTAATTTTCGGGCCTCTTGGCCCTTGGACGATCAGCCCTCTGGCACTGTTCGGCCTCTGCATGATCTTTTCCCTTTCACATTCCTCGCATCCGTCCGTCCATTCACTCGTGGTAGAATGCCAAATCCCCCTCGAGTCGCGCCACGCCAATTGGTATAAAAAATCCCGACAGGGCAGACGGAACAGAAACCATTTTGCTGAGTGGGTTTTGGGAAACTGACGCAAGCAGCTAGTGTCTTTAGGTTGGTGCGAGCCTCGCACGACGCTAGCGTGGCGGCTAACTCGACGCCGTCGTGACTACTTGCGCTGTACTCAGTGGAATCCACGACGATTCGGTGAGGCGGCGATTCGCCAAACCTCCTATACTACTCCGGGCCGAGTTCGTTTCACCCTTGTACAGCATGGCGGCGTTTGCGCAAGACGCGGCGGCGGGTGCGGCTCCGTCTACCGGGTCAGAATTTCTCTTATCGCTCCAGATTCTAGCCTAAACACGTGACGCATGCACACCCACGCGTCTGCAGTCACACACACCGACGTGGCGTCCCCGTCTCCTCGTTCTCCCCGTTTCCAGTTTCCTAATTCCCCGTTCTCCGTAACTCAGTTTCCCCATTCGCGCTTGTGTACCATGATCGCAGGGCAGAGGCCATTCAACCCGCGCGTCGGTTCGCCAAGGCGCCTGACTACTCGCTCATCACGCCTATCCTCTACGCGCCTCTCTTCCCACTAAGTACTTTCTTGCCACCCCTCCTTCTTCTCGACCTTGACCCAAACATCCCGCACAGCCCGCACCCACAAAATTCCTGTTTTCCCGGAGTCGCTGCATCCCCTCGCGCCCTACGCCAAATCGCAAATTCCGTCAGCAAGAAGGTTCGTTCATTTTCTGCTCGCGCTCCGTCTCTCATGCGCCGCCCTCCCGCCTCCCCACTGACTCCCCCTGTCTTTCCCCTCGGCGCTGTTCCTCCCGCCCCGGCAGTACGGTACGCATTACGTTGCGCCACAAGCCCAAGCTGAGGCAATTTTCGACGCGCATAAAAATCCCCCCCCCCCTCCCTGGCTTTCCTCGCCCTGCTTCTCCCGCCCCCATCCCGCAGTACGCATCACGCTGCGCCACAAGCCCAAGCTGAGGGACCGACTCTTCGTGACTGCTGTGGCCAGCGCGTTCCTGCACGGCGCATACATGAAGTACGTGGGGGTATTATGGTGTTGGGGGTGCGGTATAGTGTGGTTGAACAAGGTCTGATGGTGTTGGGTGTGGTATAGTGTGGCTGAGTAAGGTGTGATGGTGTTGGGTGCGGTGGGATGGTATTCGATACAAATCACGCTGTGCCACAAGCCCAAGCTGAGGGGCCGCCTTTTCGTGACTGCTGTGGCCAGTGCGTTCCTGCACGCCGCATACATGAATTACGCAATGGTGGGATGGGGTTGGGTGCAGTGCAATGGTGCTGGGTGTGGTGCGATGGTGTTGGATACGGTGCAATGGTGTCGGGGGCGGTACAATGGTGGTGGGTATTGGGTGTGAGGTGCGATGGCGGTGGTGGGTGTTAGGTGGTGTGCTATGGCTGCAGGTGTTGAGTCATTCAGTCAAGAATTGCTGATGCTTGTTCAATTCACTAAAACACCTGTTGTGTCCATCCTCTTGAGCCCTTTCCCACGTCCACTCTCCCTCCAGCTACCGATTCTATAATGCAGAGAGCTATCAACAATCACAAAGAACCTGAGAACGGGCGTCGCTCAAGTATGCACACATCCGGGCTTTCGGTCTACTCATATGATGGAAGGGCTCAATTGATAGAGCACATAACAGCTTCTACCTTTACCATCACCTTGGGAGGGACTAAATGCAGCCATTGATGTAATGAGTAAGAGAAGTTTATTACATTGGTGCTTCTCTATATATTGAAAGATTACATATGATACCGTACATGGATTGCATACATTTTAGTTCCGTTGTCTACAACTATATAGCTTAGGTTATTATGTGTGGGAAGCGAATTTATATTTACTACAGTACTCACTATAGCAGCCTTAAGAAGATTCACCAACGTGCTGATTGGTTCCCGTTGTAAGAACTTGGAACTGGGGAGCTCTTTGGATCGAAACAGCTGCCCAAGTCATGCAGGCTGCTGCAGCGGCTCCAGTTCGTGCAGCTGCCGAAACTACTCCCGCTACAGTCACTCCGCATCTCCCCCTCCATCTCCCCCACAAACTTCCACCACCCAGCAACATCCCCCACCCCGTTCCTCGTGGGAAAGACAACCCTGGCTTCCGCCAACCCGTCGCGTTCCCCTGCGTATCCCGCGCCTCCTGCTTCTTGCGCATCCGAAAACCCAAACGGCAAACGTTCGCGCCGCATTCCCCGCTCTCCGGTTTCCAGAGGCTCAGAGGCAACAGCGTTCCCCACTTCGGTATTCCTCCCTCTCCACGATTCCCGAACTTGCTGCGCTCGCGCTCTAGCTTGTCCAAGCGGCTCAACTGCTCTCAGATCGCCGTCCGCGTTTTCCGCCGATCTTGCTGCCGGCAATCCTCGCAATACGGCATCCTGCTGATCAGGTGCTTGCGTCAAATGCTGCGCACCAAAAATTTCCTCTGCGATGGACAGAATCTTCATGGAGGGAGAGAGTTTTAAGGCGGAGTTTCGGCGCTTGACGCGTCGCGGCGGCCTGCTGACGTGAAAGTTGACGTTGACGTCCGCCGCCAGAGCGTGGAGTTCTTGTAACGCAGCGACGCCGCAAGTGTCTTTTGAGTCGACTCGAAAGTTGACATTGACGTCCGCTGCCAGAGCGTGGAGTTCTCTCAACGCAGCGACGCCGCCAGTTTCGGACGCCATGTCTCGCAATAAACTCACGTAAATAGCTTCAACAACTCAGCTCAATGATCGTCGTGTTTGGTGCTTGAAGTGACCCAGAATCCGAGGATGTGAGTACCATATGCAAAGCTCGGTTTTAGTCAGTACGAGCTTGTCTGCTCCTAGCCGCAGTTCCCAAATACAATGTACGGAAAGGTTGTTCCGGAAACCGTAGGAAGCGCGGATAGTGCCTGAATGAGGACGGATGAGACGAGTTTTCGAGCAGGGCTTTCGCAGCAGAACCCGCGCTGTACAGTAGTACTGTAAAAGTCGATCAGCGATTAGCTGCGCAACAAGCGGTGATTCGCTGAAATTCCCTTTTCTCGCTGCGACCACGACAGCCAGGATGCGACGTGTCGCGAGGAAAGGAACGTATGATGACGCGACAAGGACGCCTAGGAGGCGCGTGCGAGTGTTGGTCACGCGCGGCGCCTATACCGTACTTGCAGCGGAGCTGCTGGGACTTGTGAAGGAGATAGACTGATGCTCTTCGGCGCGAAGGCGGTTGACTGATGGATTTATGCAATTCAATTCGAATCGCAGTGATCTGCCGCTGTCACGGCTGGTACTAAAGCACGTAGTGATGGTGTGCTGGTGGCACTACTACATCTGTACCGTGGTGTGCGTTTGTTGAGTCGATGCACACACAAGGCTGGGGCATCGACGCGCAGGCATTACAAACGGCATCGTTACAGCATCGTTAAGGATTTGTTGGATTCGAAGAGGCACTTCGAAGCAGGCTTCCCCAAACGGAGGTTCCCTTCATTGAACCATTCGCGAGTCGCTGACGATTGGAGGATGCTTGGCGATGGAGGTGCGAACTGATGAGAAGAGGCAAGATTCGAAGGGGATGTAAGGGAAGTGACGGACAACCAATCAAAGGCGGGGTGCAACTTCTTAGGAACAGCAGCAGGACAAATATGGAGTGTGTGTAACGGGACCCTTATTGGACGGAAAATTTGGAATCTCCCACAAGACAAACCTCTCGCCACTGAACTGCCTGCGACAACCAAGTTTCAAGCTATAATACCCTGAAGTCCGGCCATTATCTCGGATACTCAAAATCTGCCTGAGCGCGTTCTCAGGTGTAATCACCAACAGAAACATTTTTTTGCGATTTAGTGAGAAGATTTTCTGGCTCTTATTGGATACATTGACTAAAAAGATTCCAGCGCTTGCAAACAAATAAATACAAAACCTGAAGCGAACCTAGATGATTTACGGGAAGGATCAACCCTAAATACCGAAAGTCGACCAATATTTTGGAAAACATATTGCAACCCACTTTTACAGGAAAAATAAAACCCAATCGGAAAGGGATGCGACTCGGGAGGCATCAACCCTGAAAACAATGCCCATTCCCGTGTTCAGGGTTCCCTAGGGGTTTAATTTTCTCTGCCATGCCCGAATACCGGTAGCGTTGTTTAGCGGTCGGTTGTTTAGCGTTGAATCATATGGGCTTCAATCTCTCACTACGTAAATTTCGTACTTATATCCAAGTCGGGAGGGTAAACTGAATGTTTCTTTCCTTGTCACTTCCTAATGAGGTCGACCAGCGTGAGAAATGTGATTTTAGAGTGACGACCAATCAACGTTGAGATAGTCCAGGTCGATTACACCTGAGAATGCGCTCAGACGAAATCTGAGTATCGGAGATAATGGCCGCCCTGAAGTTGAAGCTGATAGTTGGGCCACGGCTTCAACCAATCACTGACGTCTGATTGGCCTCAGCAGTACATATTTTTCTGTACAGTAATAGAGCTTCCCTAGTCCTGGCCGCTGTACTCATTCTTGTGCTGCTGCCGCTGCTGCCGCACCTATCGCACCTGCCGATGCCGTATGTGGCCTGCTTTTGGCTACGATACATTCATCGAGGCTAGTGTACACTCACTCATTCATCGAGTCTAGAACTGGCGAAGCTTGAGGTGTGCTTGAGAGAATGATGAGCAGCCAGTGTGCCAGTGTATCTGTTCGGAGCACATGAACTCCGTGTGACTTGACGTGAACTGTATCGTCCTTCACACGATGACAGCAACAAAGGCAGATTGGATGGATGCAGCACTGCTGCGGAATGGAGTGCAAATTGGCGAAGAGAAGGACGAACGGTTTGTACTCCCAAAATTCCCACAGAAATGCCTTCGCGAGGCTTCCCACAGAAATGCCTTTGCCGAGATGCCTTTGCAGCAGGCTAGAAGGCGGGAAAATCAGATTGTTCTTTGTTAAAATCCAGCAGCAGTACAAGGCCATAAGTGTACACTCATCGAGGTTAGTGTACACTCATGCAGACAGAGTCTAGAACTGGCGAAGCTTTAGGTGTGCTTGAGAGAATGATGAGCAGCCAGTGTGCCAGTGTACCTGTGCGAAGCACATGAACTCCGTGTGACTTGATCGCGTACGTGAACTGTATCGTCCTTCACATGATGACAGCAACAAAGGCAGATTGGATGGATGCAGCACTGCTGCGGAATGGAGTGCAAATTGGCGAAGAGAAGGACGAACGGTTTGTACTCCCAAAATTCCCACAGAAATGCCTTCGCGAGGCTTCCCACGGAAATGCCTTTGCCGAGATGCCTTTGCAGCAGTCTAGAAGGCGGGAAAATCAGATTGTTTTTTGCTAAAAGCCAGCAGCAGTACAAGGCCACAAGCTTCAAGTCGCTTCCGGCAATCAATCGACTGGTGCACCTACCCAGCCAATAAAAACTAGGGTAAGCAATTCCGCCAATCCGCATCTGTACCCCTGACCCATCCCCTCAAACCAAGGAACGAAATACGCCGTTATGCACGACTTCGATAATTGGGTAGATCAATGTGCGGTGTGAAGTTACAAGGATATTTGGAAGACATGTTAGCTTTGCTTATCTCGTGATAGCTACAGCTCGACTAGATACTCAAACAATAAGGACCAGTAAGTTCCCATTTGTTTTTTATCAAAGCTACATTCAAACCATTATTGTCATTAACATCTACTAAATACCTTCCTTCCAATGCCTCCTTAATGAGGATTAAAAAAATGAAAATTAGGGGCAGTAGTACTGTAGAACAAGAACGTCTGCAGAATACTCACTTATGTGCCTTTCGAGCAAGTAACAAAATTGATACCCAAGGGCGTGATACATTTTCTTAGAGGTTTCCTAGTACTAGCAAATGTATCACGCCCTAAGTGATGCACCTGACTTGGGTTTCCGTCCAACCAAGTTTAGGCAAAAAATCCCTATGTGGCATTCCCGTACGGGAATCGGTCAAGAGGTTCAAACACTGATCCTCTTGTCTGGTGGGCACAAGCGGAAGAACCCACTGATCCTCTTGTCTGGTAGGCACTAGCGGAAGAACCACTTCCAATTCTGCACCCGTCGAAGGAACTGGCCAGCAAGGAATCCCTCGGCCCGAAACCTGAGCTGGTGCTCTTGAAGCAGCCGAAACAAGAATTGGGAAGGCTGCCACAATCACTCCGGCTACAGTCACTGAGCATGTCACTCTCCATCTCGCCAACGAAATCCCACCATCCATCCACGTTGTTCATCATTCTCTCATCGATCGTAGATTCGCGTTCCATTCTCGCCCCCATCTCTGTTGTTTGTACCCTAAACCCGTCGGCTTCGGATTCAATACGACTGCGCCATTCCACGGACTCCGCTGCAGGATTCATGAGCAATTCGGCTCTTCTTTCCGATGTTCTTTGGCCACGCCACTCGAGCACTTCCAGATCGCGCACTCCCTCCATCGTGCCTCCAGCAGTGCTTGCGTAAGTAGTAGCATTTCGCTGAAAATCTCCATCTGACGAATTCGCAGGACGCTGATCCCCGAATAGCTGTTCAGCAATAGCGAGAATTTCCGTTGAGGCGGAATTTCGACGCTGCCCGGGGGAAGCGGCAC